CTATTTTTATATTTTCAAAATATTATAAATTTGTGTAAAGCATTGAATTTCTGAAGTATTTTGAGTTAATTTTTGCAATACTTGGTTTTGAAGATAAACTTGCAGTAAATTTTATTTCATTCTAAAGTGCTAAATTTAGTTGTATCACAATATCAATTACATCAGAGGAGATGGAAAAATGCGTCATTAGTTGAAGTCTTATTAATAAATACTAATTAGCAAAATTTTAACATCATTTTGACGCATAAACATGTCGGCACATGGTAATGATTTTCTTTTTTTTTTTTTTGATTAAACAGTGTCGATATATCTTGAATACTCATCTTGAATACTTCAATTCTTGTACTATTTGAAGTAATCAGAACAGTTTATTTAACATACAAATATAAAACATGATATATTAAACATCTTTCAATTGTCTCATGTTATTTGTTAGGCTGAAACAGAACCAAAAATGTTGAATGGAATTTGAATTGAATAATTTTGGAAAGCCTCAAGTCTTCATTACCATTTACTAGGCCCGGACTTTATCCATGGTATTAATAAAGAAAGCACTCGAATTTCCTGTAACACCTAGGGATATATGCGTCAGTGCTTTCGTATCATGCAATTGCCATGAAATCCGCAATACCACAAATGTCATTTTATCACTCTAGTCAAATTTTGTGGGAGTTTAATACCATTTTGAGTTCAATCCCATTCTGATTAAGCTTGTTCTACTGGTACTCTACTACTCTGAATTTCAATTCTATTTCAATCTCGAAATTCTTTTGCCTCTTTCAATTTGGTGCTGATAAGTTCCAAGTTTCCATTCTGATTCGCAAACGTAATTGTTGTAAAATTTTGAGACTTCCTAAATTTAGTAAGAAATTTGAAGCAGACTAGCCTTTTCAGTTTGCACATTCTGTATTAGAACGACAGTTTTCCCAGTTGCAACCCAAGTGATGACGTTGGTGGACTTTTTTCTCTCAGACGTATCTTGAGAAATTACCGTATTAGAATCCCCACTTTTTTCGGGATCGGTGCTTGCATCGGACGTGCTCAGTGATTGCTTCTCAGGACTAGTAATTATTTCCTCCGTGTGATTAACTTGAGTTTCTGCTTCTGTCACTATATCAGACTCCTTCAAAGAAAAAGCCTGAAGCTCCGCGTGAGAGGGATTCTGTACTACTGGATCAGTCTTAAATGTTGGAAGAATATGGGATTCCTTTTCATGCAAGGTTTGACCTTCCTTTACGGAAATCATAGGAACCCTTACAGCAACCGAAGGAGCCACAGGAACTTGCGGTTTTTCTACAGAAACTGCTTCATGTTGTAAAACAAACTGAGGTTTCTCGATCTCTTTATTTGAAATGTTTTGAGACTGCTCAGTAAAAGTAGCCGTGGAAATTCTTAACGGTGAAACTGCGTTCGTAGAAATAATTTTAGGTACATCAGGTAAAATGTTTTGACACTTCCTCACAGGGACATTCAGATATCCTTCCTGCAAAAAACTGAATTGAGCTTCTCGTTTAAAGGAATTTTATTTTCTTTACGACAAATTTTTACCGGAGTCGATTGAGGCTTTCTTACATTTTCAACAATGGAATAGCTTGAATTCATTTGAAAATTTTGTTGGGAGTATTTCTAATATAGAAGTATTTGACCTATTTATTCAAGCTGACCTGAAATTTTTTCTCAGTAGAGATTTTCAACTGTTTTGAATGAATAGCTTCATAATCCTTAACACAGGCAGTCTGAATTTCTTCATCTGAACTAGAGTCAATCTTGGATTCCTTCATTATAGAATCTTCAGATTCTTTCAAAGGAGTGACTTGACACTTTTTTACAGGAACTGCTGTAGAATCAGTTACCAGAACAATTGGTAATTTCTCTGTTTTTTTTCGTTTTTCAGCTGAACAATCTTGAAATATGTGGTTTCATGCTTTCTTGAGGAAGGAAAATGAGATTTCCGGATAACAGTGGTTTGAGGTTCATTTCCTACCTGTACAGTTTTTGCATATATGTTATCATGTTCCTTGGAACATGTAAGTTGAGGCTTCCATGCAGGGAAAGTTTGTGGTCCCTTTGAGAAAGTTCCCTCATTCTGTTTAGCGAAACCAGATTGAGAAATCTTCACCGGTGCAAGTTGTAGTGTCTCTTCATGAGCAATCCTCAATTCATCTGCAGGTAACATTTGAGATTCCCTGATAGAAGAAGTCGGAACTTCTTGTACAGAGATTATTTCGGGCTTTAAAATAGAAATATCCAGAAATTTCTGTCCTTGAAGCACATGCGATTTTTTCGGAGCTTGATTGAATTGGTCCTTTTCTGTAGTTAACTCGGATTTCTCTCGTAAAGCAGTTCGAGAGTCTTTTTGGAACACATAAGGCTTATTTTCAGAAACAATTAAAGATTCTCTTATTGGAGTAGTCAAAGATTCGTCATTAGTGAGAATGGAAGATTCTGTCCTTGAATCCAGTTGTAGAGCAAGCGGAGGGATTTCTCGTTTTTCAGAATGAATCTGATTCTGCCGAATTGTTGCAGGCATGGATTCCTCTTTAAGAATACTTTGAACTTTTTTCATGTTACGAATTGAAATTATTTTGGTTTTTTTTTTAAAGTTGAGGGGTTGAAGTTGTTTCTAAGGAGTCGACTTCAAACGCTTTCGTGGTATCAATTTGAGATTTCTTTATGATTCTAGATTGCTGTTGATGAGTAATTTGTTTAACAGATAAGAAGTGGAGTTCCTTACTGGAAAGACTGGAAAGACGTTGGTCGGATATATCTTTCTCACTTAAATTTTTGTTTGATATGGTCATTATTTCTTCCTGCTGATTGCTTTCATTTTTCTAAAATGAAATTTTTCAAAATTAGATGATTAACTCTATAATTATCAAGTTGCATCCAAATTTACATCCGATTTCCTAATTTAAATAAAAAAATTAAAAAAGACTACAAGATGAGCAAACACTATGCCAAATATAGAACCGTAAGCCAAAGAAAATTGTCGTCCATTTCTACGGTAACAAAACAGTTATTATAATAAAAAATATTTCCAAGTATCAAATAAAAAAAAGTACAGCAACAAGGCCATTATTTGAAATTCTGCTTGGGGTAGGACATAAAAGCCAGAAAGAAAATTAGCCTTGGATAGAAAATACCAACTGTAACTTCAGCTTCTACGGGAAATGCTATAAGTAATGCTAGCAGGAGCATTTTCATCCAATAATAACTTCCTTTGTCTTCTAATGCCGGATCCAAAAACAATGTTGTTGTAAAGTATATAAACCTGAAAATAAATTTACTTATCGCCTTAATCAAGTGCTAAAAAACCTGAAGAACTCGATTAAATTTGGGATTTTTGAAACTACAAAAAATTAAAAATAGATCCTTAAAGCATAACTTCTGAAAGGTTGATATGGCTAATTGAGGTCAGTGTTAAAAATTAATCATGAAGGAAGTGAAATTATATAAAAAGAACTCTCAGGATATTGCCACGGAAGTCAAAGGTTGCTTTAATTCTTGGTCATATGAATATCTCAAATTCAGAATCAAAGATAAAGAAGGAAATGCCGCCTTTATCTGTTGTAAATAGCTACAACAAGTATGAATTGTATATACATAGCAACGACTGCCATGTTGCTCACCAGTAACATAAAAGATTATCAGATGGTGGCTTCTCTTCCGGATAAACATAGGTGAGCAAGATCGGTACCACGGTAAGGATCGTATTGGCAACAAATCGAGCATAATCACCAATGATGAGATAGATGGAAATGCCGGAAATGATGAAGATCGCTAAGTATCGTTCATCCGCTCCTGATTTCTCATGTAAATATCTTAAACCTCTTGCGGACACATGCCACTGGAAATTTTAAAAACTTTTTACTCAAAATTTTTACTATTCGAATTTCTGTATGCATGCTATCCTAATCAGTGATACCAATAAGAAATGTTTGATTCTGACAATTTAAAAAATATCCGGATGTTCATATAATAATAATTGAACTCTTCCTTTCATGAAATCCTACTTACATTTTTGCTTTGCTCTTTGAATATCTTCCAATTTATTTACAGAAAATCACGAATCGCTCAAACATTCAGTATGATGTTTTCGAATTTATTAGAATAAAGACAAATAGTACAGAATATCTAAACAAGTATTCGTTTTGTATAAATTACACATCCTTCAAGTTTGGCCTTTCACATATGTTTGCAGGTCAATTGAATGGTTGACCCGAACTATTGGCAAGAAAGTTTGAATTTTTTAGCAAAGACCTGATCATAAATAAGTGCATAAAAGTGATTTTGCAATTTTTGTGGACAACATTGCGCCAGTGCAACCAGCATTAAATTCATGTAAAATGATCACTAAATTAGTTGTGAATTCAATATGTATTATATTAAAACTTTTCAAATCCAAATTAGATATTTAAATTAGCAGAAGTATTTTTTCAAATATATGCAATCACATTTTCAACAGGTCGGATGGATGTGAAAAATGATCATTTCACTATTTGAGCATATCAGAATAGAATTTTAGTAATGAACTATAGGATGGCGTCGAAAAAGTGTCAAAAGTTCTAAATTGAAAAACAAATTTTTTTTGTTTTTGTAATATAAATCATTTAAATGATGCTTCGCCCTCGTTTAGCAATATTTTTTGACAATACAATCTAAGTAATTGGTAGAGTAGTAAGTATAGTTAGTGGATATATTTACCTGAGCATAGAGCATAGAGATAAGAAAACGGGTTCACAGAATATTTCAGGCCAATATTTTTATGCTCTTTTTTTTCATCAATATTTGATGGATCACTAGTATATTCTTGGCTGTTTTAGTCTATTGAATAAGTTTTTCTTTTTTAGTTTCAAATCTGTTAGAATAAATTAGAGATAGGTAATATTATTGTGTCAGGCTAAGGACTTGAACTTTATAATCCAAAAGATTGCAATTTAAATCATTTAGGATTATAAATAAATGCAAAAGGTGATTTCATCAATTTTTTGAAGGTACTGGTAAGTAAGACGGATCAATTACATGGAAAAATGTTTATAATTAAGAGATTAATTAAGGGAAGATTTTGGATGAGGTGGAAGTATCATAGCAGTAAAGTTGTTTTTTCTAAAATGAAGATTTGAAAGGCCTGCTCGGATTGCTTGATGCCATTTTTGCTGAACTAATGCTTCTTCGTTTTAAATCGTAAACTTTTCGATATTGCTACTAAACCAAAATTGTGCCGCGCTGTGACACACACTATGTACCTAAAAATATGCAGTTTTAATGAACGGTACAGTTATTAGAATTTGTGGGATTTCTTTTCGTTTCAATTTTCTGTCACTATTTTTGTCAAATAATTATCGATTTAATAATTAATATTGAAAATTACGAGTGCAAAAAAGTCAACGAAATGTCTCATTATAGTAACAGTCTCAATATTCTCGTCCACAGCATCCTACACTTAATATTATTTGAGCTTTAACGTATTTTGTGCATAGTATTTTAATTTATTCCTAAATTTCTTCCACTTGCTAAAAATCGACCTCACCTCACCTAATTTATTTATTTCATTACATAATTCTATAAATCTTTGTTAACATTTTAACTATTACATAAGCAGAAGGTTAATTATTAAAGCTTATCTGGTATTTGGTAAAAGTTCAGTTACTGTAAAACATTTGCTGTCACCGCAATCATAAGATTTCCAAGAAGAAAAATGTGGTGCCGGATCTCGACTGAGTAGAAGTATGTAACTCTAGAAGAATTAATTATAACAAAATATACATACTTCATTTTTGTATTCATCAATGTGTGTTTATGCGTCTAATTTTTGAAAGATGCTAATTAAAGGGTAGATGCAAGTTACTTTAATGAACAAGTCCGGGTAAACTTTCATAAAATACCTCAATTAACAAGTAAGCCAGATGTAAAGTCTCAGAAAATAAATCAAAGCAGTTTTCAGCTGCTTAGAGCTACAATGTTTCATCTTTTATCTTTTTTCCATAGCTATCATTGAATAATAAAATTTGCAGACTGCTGAAAAAATTGAATGAAATATTTCGAGAAATCAAAGCATTGCAGTTTAAAGCTTTAAATAATAAAAACTTCAACTTCATAATGAGTAATTTCACCTCAGGTGCAATATTTTTATGTGGAGCATCCCAAACAAATGTTGCAGTTTCACAGCTCAGTGCTTGCAGTGACAGAGATTGTGGAACAGTGCACGGTTCTAAAGTTTTCAAAGTGATTTGAAATCAACTTTAAGAAGCTAATTAGGGAAATGAGTAAATTGATAATTTTCATAACATGCTATCAAATGAAATAGTGCAGTGATGTTAAAGGAACATAAACCGTCCAACCATTCTGTCACAGTTAGGAGATATCGGAGTTCCGATGTCAGAATAAGATCATCAGATATGAAAAAGAAAAAAAAAAGTTTTGAAACGTACCAGTGTATTCATAGCATTTGATGGGTTTGCTGCTTCCGAATCTCGTTGTTGTTGCAACTGAGAACACATAAAGGGTGAAGGAACGTAAACCAGTGACAACATACTGCTCACTGGTGATAAATTCAATTACTGTTGCTGGATTATTTCGACTTCGAGGTGTTCTAGATTAATCAAATTATAAATTGTTTCCAAACTTGTATGCAAATAGCCTAAGGTGTAGATTTTAATAATTTTGAAGACAAATAAGGGGGAACACAAACCTTATCTGATAAGCAACTGTATACCAGAAACATTTCCCTTCGTTATCATGTGTTGGAGGATCCCATGTAAGAACTACAGAATCTGCTGTTGAATTAATTGCTCTTAAATTTCGTGGAGGATGAGGAGGACCTAGAAATAAAAATAAAGATAAGAAGTTAATTAGTATATAAGTGCTGGTGTAAAGTGTATTTACATGAAATATTTCTACTTTTGCTGAACCTTATCACTTTAATGATCAAGGGAAACTGTCGAGAAATACCTTAATTAATTAGATAAGGAA